TATCACGATGTTACAATATAATATATTTTCAATAACTTCTAAACATTTTTATTTTTAGATAAGTATATTTGACAAGTATTTGCCGGTCTCGAACTCTCCTCTGACGAGCCGCCCCGGGTATTATCGGGCACAAAACGGCACTACGTCAACCAACACAATTGCAGTGTTTATTTACATATATACGAATTATTGTACAAAAATGCATTGTGAAACATTAACAATGATGTTGGACCCGAGCGGTCGATTTTCTACGAAACTAGTAACCAACAAACAATAGGAAAATTGGTTGGGTTGGCGTGCGGCGCAGTCTGTTAAATGTTGCACCGGGTCCGCATACAATAATATAATATTATCATGAATATAAATAGTACCTATACATTATAGTTTATATCATAATATATATTATATTATATATATATATATTATATAATGTATAGTAAATAGTATATATATAGTATTATTAATTATAGTATCTATAAATAATCATAATGATATTGACATTGTACACAAACGGTGACCCGTGAGCCGTTTGATTGTTATAGTAACAACCAGACTTGTTATTATCGACGGAAATCAAAACGATATACCTACCAGCACATGATTATGTTTCATAGAGTTGCAATACATTGGCACAATTTTGTGTTATAAGCGTTTAAAGTTCAATTGTTGTCAAAATTTATCAAATTTATAATTTTAATTTATTTTTCGCTCAGAATTGTTTTTTTTGATATTATATCATTGTATTCAAATTTAACACAATCCATTACGTCATATACGATATACCCACCTTTGTTGAAATATGTTTGAATTCGTACTTGAAATATTTCTATACAGCCTGTACACAATGTTGCGATTGAAACTGCTCGTTTCCACCAAAAGTATACCTTTCCCGTTTCCACCTTTCCCGTTTCCTAACCAAAAATAATTATAACTCATAATGTTAAACGGACATATACCATAAGCAAATATATGGCTGAATCCAATAATCACATAATGCTTTTTTTAACTTTTTGCTACCCTGATTACAGACGAAATAGAAGTCGTACGCACATTGACCATAGTTCCTTTTCGAATCGCCGTACGCCAAAATAACAGCAGAGCGACAACCACTTACCAACCTTCTTAAGGAATACAATGTATTGTAGAAAATATTATAGTATTATAGTGTAATCTAATAAAACGAACCATGGGACGCCATCTGCCGATTCTTTCATTATTATTCTAGACCATTACATGAAGAAAACAAAAGATATAATGATAATTAAAAACGCAAGATGGCTCACATGAAGAAACTCTCATTAGATGAAAATTCTGAGTTATTATACTATAATCTTAAAAAGAACTTCTTCAATGTGGCGTGAAAAATAATAATAATATAATAGCAAGATACATATAAAACATTTCAAAAACATTAAAACAATACTATTAACATCAAAAAGTCATGTAAATAATAAAAAAAAAAACTGCTCTCGAACGAGAAGTGAATCATACAAAGATATAAGGTACCGCGTTTTAAACAACTCACGATGATATGAGAGTAAGTATTAATTTATTAATAATTGTACTTACTCCTAGTTTAATTCGTAATTACTCAATTTTTGGAAGCCACCAATTTATGGTGGCTCATAATAATAATAAAGAAAAGTAATAAATTAAAAACGGCACACCCGCCCGTACCTATTCAGTACGAAAAAATAGTCCCCTGGGCTGTTCGGTCGCCTATTACTATAACCCCGAAAGCTTTGAACATTTTTAAAGTATAAACGTCTTATAGATAATTTTCCTGGCTTTCCGAATATATAGGTTTAATGCGGCGCCACCTTCCGGAACTTGGTCAAAAAAATTAAAAACGGCGCATAGGTACTTGCACCCGGCAGTACGAAAAAATAGTCCCCTGGGCTGTTCGGTCGCTTATTACTATAACCCCGAAAGCTTTGAACATTTTTAAAGTATAAACGTCTTATAGAGAATTTTCCTGGCTTTCCGAATATATAGGTTTAATGCGGCGCCACCTTCCGGAACTTGGTCAAAAAAATTAAAAACCACACACCCGATCGTACATAGGCAGTACGAAAAAATAGTCCCCTGGGCTGTTCGGTCGCCTATTACTATAACCCCGAAAGCTTTGAACATTTTTAAAGTATAAACGTCTTATAGAGAATTTTCCTGGCTTTCCGAATATATAGGTTTAATGCGGCGCCACCTTCCGGAACTTGGTCAAAAAAATTAAAAACCACACACCCGATCGTACATAGGCAGTACGAAAAAATAGTCCCCTGGGCTGTTCGGTCGCTTATTACTATGTAATATATTATTATATTACTATTTACAATACTAAGTAATGAATTTCATGGCGCCATCTTGTGGTTGATGGTTGTACATTTGGTGAGTGCCTTTAATATAATAAAACGCAACCTTGCACACAAGACCTGTTATCACTAATCGTCCGAGAAAATAGTCCCCTAGCTATAGTCCCCCAACTTCACACCCGTACCATAGTTCATATTTCATAGGTGCCTACCTAGTACCTAGTTAGTCGGCTAAGGGCCGTTCTTACAATGTCCGGTAAAGTGTCGGTTAACGCTAACCGACTGATAACAGATTTTATTACCGGCAGAATTCTTCCGGTTAAGTGTCGGTTAACTTTAACCGGACGTCGTAAGAACGGCCCTAAGTTCTAATTAGTATTTGTTTTTTATTTGATTATTTTCTTAGTGGTAGGTACTGTTATATAATTGTTGTCTGTGATAATGGGGAAAGGATTAGCTTACTCATCAACAGAAATAACGTTAATAACGGAATTGGTTCAGAAGCATTACATAGTAGAAAACAAAAAAACTGATTCCACCAGCATTCATGAAAAAATAATACATGGGAAAAAATTACTCAAGAATTTAATTCAATGGGCAATCATCCAATAGTAAGTACAATTGTGTATTTATTTCAAATTTCCAATAAAAACTTATATTGTACAATTAAATTATTATGTACAATGCAAAATGTTATTTAATTATTTAACTATTTAACTATCATCGACATTGGCGCAGACTCCATAAATTTAAGTGTGTAAAATATATATTAATCTATTTAAATTAATCTTTATATTAATTATAAATAATATTATATGTATTTATAATCTAAAATAAATAAATAATGTAAATCATTTAGAAATTAAAGCCAATTATATTTTAAGTACTCTGGTCCTTACACAGTTAATTAAATAAATATCTTTTTTGCTTTTTATGGAATAATTCAATGCCATATTTTAACTATTTTATTTTTATCAAATTTTCTTATTGTGCATATTATGCATATTAAAGATTGCAAATTTTCAATTTTAATAAAAAAAAAAAATAATAATAATATACAATTCATATATTACTTTGCCAATAGTAATATACTTTATTTCACCTGTTATTAAATACATACCTACATTTATTTACTTAAAATTAACAAACATACCTACCTAATTGATAATATTATAGGCTATACATTTATTGTTGTATAACAAAATAAAAAAAATTAAGAATATTATTATAGTATTATTTAAAAGATTTTTATGTAGGTACCTACCTGAGCTCAAATTATATTTGATGGAAACTCAATAAAAGAGGATACTACATTGGAACCAGATAAATAATTTAAGTCTGGTTTAAACCTGAATTTGAATTAATTTGATTAGATACATACATCATTTGCAATTGTTCTGTTACTGCTATTGTTCTTTACTGTTTTATGTTTTGTTTCATCTAATTGAAGGAGTTAAAATAAGTGGTTCATTCTTAAGAAGCACTTGATCATAATGTACAATGGTAAATCTATATTTGTATTCAAAATAACATTTATATACATGAGTGCATTAATGGTACATATTAATATGTACTAGTTTGCTATCAATGTCCTGATTTTATAAAAAAATATCTGTTCAAATTAATCTAAGACCAAAGTTATGGTTTTTTTTTCAATATTTGGTGTTATATATATATATGTATAACCTATGTATTTTATTTTTTGTATGTTATAGAGAACATTAGTTCAAGTCAAAAAATGCTGGAACAATATTAAAACTAAAAGAAAATCAGAAATAACTGCCCACAAACAAGCTCTTTTAAGAACAGCGGGTGGTCCAGAAGTACCTAAACTATTAGAAAATCCAGCAATTGACCAATTTGCAAACATCGCACTTGAAATACCAGGTGCCATTGATAGTGATGTACAATGTACCGTTACACCTGATGGAACTTTGGAATTTAGTTGTTTTGATGATGAGAATCTCTCTGGTAATTGTTATTAACAATTTGTTAAGAAATATTTTGTGTATGAATAAAACTGTATTTTATTACTTGTATTGTTGTTAAAATAGATTCAAATGATAATGATGTACAAACTTTCACTAAAAATATTGAAAATGAAGTAACTTCTAAACAGTTTAGTAATGAGAATTTGACTAGAACTAAGAAGGAAAAAAATAAATTGAATTTTACTTCTGAGATATCATCTAGAATGGAAAGACTTGAAAATAAAAAAAAAAACGATGAAGAAATGCATGGTTTATTAAAACATGAAATACTTTTAAAAAAAAGAAAAATAGAAACAGAAATCTCAGAAAACGAATTAAATTATAAGCAAGAAATTTACCAAATGGAAATTGAAACATTGAAAAAAAGATTAATATATGATAGTGATAGTAAATAGTTAAATAGTAAATAGTAAATAGTTTTATTTAAGAGTTGTATTTTGTGTCTTAATACAGTCTTCAGGCTGCCCAAAGATATGGGATTTTTGCATAAAAAAGGTTAATTTTTTTTTTTTTTGTATTATTTTCATTTTTTTCAACTGCCAAAGTTAGGTAGTATAATATTCATATTTTTATTATATTATTATATATAGTAGGAATATTAATTAGCATTGTTAATTATCAGTATAAAGAGTTTTTATTTTGTTTGTTAATATATTGTTTTAGTATATTATTTTATTGAAATATATTGTTTTACTACATTTTATTGAAAATGTCTAATAATGAATTCGGATCTTATTATATAGCAATATAAATTAGGTGGACCATTGTATTCTTGTTGAACTATTTGATTATAATCAAACTCTTCCTCTAGGTTTTGTGGAAGTTCTTCGTATCTAAATATGGCAATATTATGAAGAACTGCACAAGCTGATATAATTAATAATGTTGTACTAAGTTTGGTGGCTAACTTTTTTGATAGACAGCCAAACCTTCTTTTTAGTATGCCATTCAATCTTTCTACGGTATTTCTTGTTGCAATATGGGCTTTATTATATCTCTCTTCTGCTATAGTTTGTGGATTTCTGATTGGAGTAAATAAATATTGCAATTGTGGATAACCACCATCACCTAAAAGGCATCCTGGTAATTGCCTTTGTTCGTACATCATATTGACATTGCTGTTGCTATAATTGAGTAAAATATAGGTAATAACTACAATTATGTCATGGATTTGTTGTAATGTAATGTTTTACCTAAAAATACGACTGTCGTGAACAGAACCAGGCCATCTTGCAACAATATCCAAGATCTCACATTTAGGGCCACTAACAATTTGTACGTTGATTGAAAATATACCTTTCCTGTTCCTAAAATTTTCAGCTTGGTCTCCACCAGGACTTTTTATTGGGATGTGAGTACAATCTACTGTTCCATCAACACCAACAAAGCCTAGATTAAAATTGTAAATTTATTTAAAACTAAATATAGTTCTATATTTCAACTAAAAATTACCTGCAATATTGTAAAATAACAATTGGTTTTGTCTTTGTTCTTGTGGGTTTGATGGAAATTTTATAAATTTTTTAAAACTTTTTAAAATAACCTGGGAAATACGTTTAACACATCTACTTATTGATGGTTGACTAATTCCAACCAAATCACCCGAAACTAACTGTAATTAGACAATTTTAGAAATAACTGATATAGAAGTATTTATATTCTAATTTAAATATAATTAAAAATGTTTTTTTTTTACTTGAATGTTTCCTGTTCCATAAAATCGTAATACTGCTAAAAGTTTAATAAGTTGAGGAACTGGTAAACCCCTCATTGTAGTGACAGCTTCAATTTCATTAAATATTAGAGGCATTAAACATTCAATAACTGAAGTTTTAGAAAATCTATTAAATTCATAAATGCATGTTGTCAAAGTATATCATGTACGATTTATATATTCATATTTATTATTTTCATATGCATAATTAGCTTACAAAAAATATTTACAAACCTGAATCTGTTTTTGAACTCTTTGTCACTGTAGTCTATTGGATTTTGCATATCTCTCACATACCTTTTGGGAACTCGTTCGTGCATTGCAACCCGGTCATAAAAATCAATTAAATTATAAAATTCATCCATTTTATGATTATTATGACAGGAGTATTATAGAAAAGTAAATACAAAATTGAAAATGATTTTATGAAGTAAAAAACGATAAATCGATAATAATTACCTATATGATAATCATGAAAAGAATTGCTTAAGCATGGTCAGCCCAAACCTTTTTAAAATGCAATACTTAAAGCAGTACTTTTTCTTTCTGAAACAAAAGTTTTGTTTATGAATTTCAATTAAGTCATAAGTATAGCTATTAAGCAATGCTTATTCTTAAGCATCGACTATGAATACGGCCCTTAGTCTATTACGTCGTGATTTTTTGGTGTTTTCATTAATGTCCTTACCTTCTGATCTTAAAATTCCCAACAAATCATTCACACAATTTCTTGAAACATTGTATTGTAAGACCCATTTTTTAATTTTATTTTCAAAATTAGATACATCATCACATTGAATATTATTATTATTATTATTATTATTAGCTTCTAAATTTACTGACTTATTTGTTAAGGGTGGTAATTCAAATTGAGATGTGTAATTTAAATTCATTGTATTTTTAAAAGATGACCCAACTGGAATTTCAAGGGGAATTTCTATATTATGTTTTTCAATATTTGGAAGTAATGGAGTAGAGTAGTTCACCATTGCCAATCCTGGCACAGCACCTTTAAGGTGCACCTTTAATAATATATCAGTATAAGATCACAAAGAAAACAATGTGCAAAAAGATCAGAAAATTGAAATGCAATAATAATTAAAAAAAATTTTCGCAAAAACTTATGAAATGAAATAATAATAAAAATATTTTTCGCAAAACATAATTATTAATAATTAAAATCGAAATGCAATAATAATTAAAATATTTTTTAATAGAATTGTTCTATTAAAAATAAAAATCGAAATGCAAAAAATGTATTAAAAAAGAAATTGAATACCTGAGTTAAAGGAATTGAAATTTATAATAAAAGAATGGAAACTATAAAAATTTTTAATAAGGTACAAGAAAAAGAAATACAAAACGAAATAGAAAAATCAATATTAAATAATGAAATCTTTGTTAAGTTCTGTAAATATGAATACTTTAATACTAATAATAAAAAAATATTAAAATCATGAAATGTATAATAAAGATAATGGAAACTATAAAAAAATTTAATAAGGTATATGAAAATGAAATGCAAAACGAAATAGAAAAATCAATATTAAATAATGAAATATTTGTTAAGTTCTGTAAAAATAAATACTTTAATACTAATAATAAAAAAAAATATTAAAATCATGAAATATAATCTAAATAAAAGAAATATTTTAAATGTCGATCATGGAAACAATATTTCTGGAAATGGAAAGCCTTATGCTTCTAAAATACTAGAATCGCCAACATGGCTTGAAATTTGTAAAATAGCTAATGAATTAATTAATACAACCGGTACTTTGGTTTCAAATATCTCCATGATATTTGTGTCGTTCAAGATTTAGGAAATATTAAAATATGTAGTCTTGTCATGGGAGGTACAGATTCCGATCACAAAATGATTAGAATATAACTATATTATTAATTAAATTTTTTAATAGAATTGTTCTATTAAAAAATGTTCAATATTCACGCGTGTCCCATTCGGACACGCGTTATTAAAATCCAAAAATCTTTGAAAATGATTTTACACTAAGATACTATGAGGGGGACTTATAAAGAATTAAAGTCAAAAATGTTTAATGTAAAAATGAAGATTCTAACATAAATATCAACGGAGTTATACTTAAATGAAAAATATGAAGCGGGGGGTAAACTTTTAATATGTAGTGTATATAAGCATATACATGAAATATAGGAATTATACGACCGTATTATTTTTAATAATTTTGATAGAAAAAACGGAAAAAAATGCAAAAAATCTACAAAATCATCATTCCCAGCTTTGCAGATACCCGTTAGGAAAAAAGGAGGCCGGAACTCTTTTACAGATATCTGCAAAGCTATCGTGGGCAGCAGTGGCGGCTCGTCAGGGGAGTCTTTGAGACGGCGACTCCCCATAAAAATAAAATGTAGTAACGCAATAAAAAAGTTTGAAGAAAATTGTATTATAATTTAATATTTTTATGTTATATCCATTCTGAAAATAATTATCATGGTTTTCGATATTAATATTGATAATATTTTGTATTCTATTTTTACATTAATAATGAATGTCATTCAATAACAATACAATATAAAAATATATCGATAACAATACAGGCTAAATATATCGATAACGACGACGACGACGGCGACGACGACGACGGTCGTTAGTTCGAGAGTCTGCCGTCCGAAAGACTCAATTATGTAATATAATCAAATTGCATATGCTGATATGCATGACAAGGCGGAGGACGGGGATAGATTGTATAGATGTTATTCAGTACATTGAGACTAGACTCATTCAAAGTTTTTGCCGTTCGCATTGCGGTCGTCACGTATTTTTCTGTAAACACGAAAACTGCAGCGTGTCGTGCGTCCGTATTAGACTATTAAACTTAGCTATTTGACATTGTATAGCAGCGTGTACCTAGTAATTAAATTATTATAATTATTTAATAATTATCTATTCTTATAATTTTTATAAAGCTATCAATTATAATAATAAAAAAAGGTTTTTTTTTTTATCTTTTTTGGGTTCATTTTTTTTTTATTATTAAATTTTCAGTCTCCCCAATGAATTTACTTGCGAGCCGCCACTGGTGGGCAGTGAAGTTACCCAAGTGCTTTATTCAGCAGGTCAACGACTGTTTTTCAGTAAATTTCATAGGTGTGTGCACCCACCTATACAATCTACCGTAAACGTCTTCAAAGCCTGATGAAATTAGTAGGTGAATATGGGCGCCACACATTCTCCCACTAGTTTCAATCCGACCAAGAACACATTTAAATCAAACGCGTTAACCACTGAGCTACAACACTTGGGCATGTATAATGATTATTTAAACACTATTTAAATAATTCGATAAAAAAAACATCATAATATAAACTATACACATACAGGGTGATCCATTTAAGTGGGTACACTAATTATCTCGAAACGTATTAACTTTTTTTGAAATTTCTAGGTTTATGTTTTTCTAAAACCGTATATTTTAATTTTTTTCACCCTTATATTTATTAGTGAAACCACTAACAACTTTTGATTTTCAAATGGTAACATATAATAAAAATATCATGAATTAATAATACCATTTTTATTGTGAATTTACGCGTTAACATTTTTATTTTTCGATGATTCGTTTGCGAGATACAGCTCCTCAAAATATTGGTGGTTTTCAAAATATTTTCAATAATTGTAAAGACCAGGAGCTAATCATAAATTTGATATCGTTGAACCCAAGGTGACAAAATAAATAACAATTAATTATAGATTACCATTGTACTTTGAACCCTAATCATTTGTTAACTTATCGACTAATTGGACATACCGAATTACCAATGAATGATAAATAAAAACTGGAAATATATCATGACAAATTTATTTTAATCACAATTTCACAGATAATTATTTAAAAATTAAAATGGTATCACCACATATCTTATTACCACTAATGACTAAGGTATACCTTGATAAGTCCGTGACTGGTAATATGATTATAATATTATGCAGAAAGTAAATAATAAATACCCATATTTAGGAGATAATGCACAATTTTATTGTCACGATTTAAGATAGTCCTATCAATTATCTTAAATAATATTGTTCAATGTTCTCTGATATTGTGAATGATATGAATGTTGTATGATAATAGTAGAAAATGAAATAGAATATTAGAATAATACTATAATAGGTATTATAATTTTACAGCACTATTTAAGAATTTAATTAATTAATTACCTATCTAAAATCGTGTTTTACAGTTACACTATTTGAAATTAATTAATAAGGATTTGAAAGAAAAAAGGTGGGTAAGTGGATGTCGCTCTGCTGTACAGTAGGTTACAAGTGGGTCACTGTATAATGGATGCTATTAAATTTGAATTCAATGATACAATATCATTGTATAAGAAAAACGATTCTGAGCGGAAACGGTATGTCAGTCTAGGTTTAAGACAATTATATACATATCTATGGTATTAAAAAAAAAATTGACCTATAATAAATTCCAAATTAATCATATCACATTATCCATTAGGTACTTATAACACGTTATACATCAATAACAAACCCTGATACTATCATAGATATATAATATAGTGTACTTTAGAAGTTTCAAGTACCCACGATCCATTAGATACGTATAATGCGTTATAAGTCAACAACAAACCCTGATACTATCATAGTCCATACTCCATTACTCCATAGATATATAATAGTGTACTTTAGAAGTATTAAGTACCCACGAATAAAATTACACACTCACAACAAAATAACAAAAATAGGTAGGTATGCTAGGTTTTTTAATATGTAATTTCGTCCCAAATTTGAACTTAAAATGTCTGTAAAAAATAACTGTGTTCATATATTTTTTAGATTTTTTGGCTACACTATGAACTATTTATGAGAATCTTTTTATTAAATTTGCAATCTTAGCTATAAAAACTGAACATTTTATAATTTATTAATTACGATGATTGATAATTTTCGAGATTTTGATAAATTTTGTCAAAATGCGATCTTTAAATGCTTATAAAAAAAATTGTGCCTATGTATTTTTAATATTTTTCAATTGCTATTGTAACAATATATCAGGAGCCTTGTATTAATTTTTTACACTTTTTGGCCCAACAGATAAAACTTTATTGATATTTATAGAAAAAAAAAACTAAAAAAATTGAAAACTGAAAATGTCCGTAAACGGCTCAAAAAGAATCAAAATATTTTCAAAATTGTATGGTGTATAGGAAATGCTAATATAAACATTGAGTGAAATTTTCATGTATCTACAGTAATTCGTTTTTGAGTTACAACAAAAAAAGGAAATCGCCACATGAGAAATCGAGTAAATATCCAATGTTGTAAAAATTTGAATTTCAAACGCTCATAAAAATTTAATTTGACTTTCCGGTAGAAATTTTTTTATTGATAAAGGTAGACAATCTTATAAGGAACCTTGTATTATATTTTCATATCTTAGATTTAAAAAGAAAAATTTTTACGAATTCTTAACTCAAAATAATTTGCTAATTTTCGTGATTTTTCCATATTTTGTCAATTTTTGAACTTTAAATGCTTATAAAAAAAAACTGTGACTAACGGTTTTAATATTTTTCATCTGCCTTTCAAACCATATACTAGGAGCCTTCTATTAAATTTTCAAGTTTTTTTAACCAAGAAATAGAATTTAATTGATATTTCTAGAAAAAAAATTAAAAAAAATGAAAAATGAAAATGTCTCTAAACAGTTCAAAATAAATCAAAATATTTTGAAAATGTTATCGTGTATAGAAAATGCAAATATAAACAACCACTGAAAATTTCATGTATCTACGGTCATTTGTTTTAAAGTTATAGCAAAAACCAAATTCAATTTTCTGAAAAATCAATTTTGCGTAAAAATTCCCGTTTTTCCTTAATTTTTCTTTTGTTTTTCTTGGCGCTTTTGAAAAGTACTGGGAAATTTAAATTTTGACCTCCCCAATGCACCAACGATATTCACTTTCCAATCGAACAAGATAGGTACTG